ATATCGGCGGCATCCGCAACAGATCGGATGGATTCTTGCGTAAAAGCCTGCCAGATATGTCCTCGTGAAAGCATTATTGAAGAGCCAAAGCATTCGTTCCAGTACTGTGCATAGGCGTTTGCAGAGGCATGGAAGTTATACATTCCACCAAGCACAGCATTTGAAAACACCCGATCAACCCAAATCTTTTTACCAATCTTCAGATACCGTGCTGAATTAATCCAGACTTCGTGAGTGTCGCCATTGTGATGTTTGTAGTCTTCATGATCAGGCTGATAAACCGTATTGCAGCGAGTACATTTCCCACGTATAACATATACAGACTTGGAATCAGCAACAGTAATGCCTTCAATAAGATAGACATTTGTGAAATCGTCAGAAGATGTGGCGACTTGGATGCTGTATGGATGGCAAGTTTCAGTGGTACAAGTCATATTCGGAGGACAGATGATGCGGATAGGAAGGATAGATGACCGTGAAATATGATGTATCTTCCGCTTGAAAGTTCCATTCCGACTATATGGTGTAAGACGCAGAAAACCTGCCAAGTGGTCCAAATTTCTCGCAAATTGACTAGTTAGCTGATTGTCTGTTTTATGGGTATTGGAAGGAAAAATTTCATCAACTTTGTTGTCGCCTAGCCTAGTTTCAATTCCACGAGCAAGAGCTGATATCCAGCCAGTCGCTTTAATTGTTCTTTCACCTTCATAGAGTGGATGAGATTGCCGAGCATGGAGGTTGAGAAGTTCAGGATTATCGGTGAGTGAAAAGAGCAAGAGAAGAACTGTAGTCAGAGAAATATTTGAATTGAATGTCGCCAGAATAAAATCGCTAAAGGCTTTGAATGTTGGATTTGGGAATGGGTGTGAGCGAGGATCCTGAGCTGAAGTCACTGGAATCCAAGCAAAGACGCAGATAAAGCAAAATAGCCAGAATAGAAAAGATATCGGAAACCTAACAAAAAAACACCAAAAACATGCATATTTTCAGAAATTTAACAACAGAAAATATTTCTAAGTAAACAATATTACACTTTAGCTGGTTTCTTTTTCTTTGGCGACTTGCTCGCCTCCTGCGCTTTCAACCATTCCTTCAAAGAAGTAAAACTATAACGTTGAACCTTCTTTCCGATCCAGACTTCAGAAATGCTTTTCTTGTCAGGATCATTATGAAGCCACTTGGCCATATCGGGGTAGGATTGAAGGATAGGTCCAAAAGTATTGTCCCAGTTCTTGAATTGTGTCTTTTGGACCCAAATACCTGTGACGTCGTTGGGGGTTGGCTTTTTGTGATAAGACCATTCAGATGCTGGCGAAGCCTTCAATTTTGCCAGAGCATCAATGCAGGCCTCGTAACGTTTAAACGTCAAAAGAAGATCACTACCACCTTTCTTTACAGACTCCCGAAGATTAAGAAGTTCCTGACTGATCTTCAAAACCTTCACGATCTCTGTCTCCTTTGGTGACAAGTCGGCAAGCAATGGAGATGGAGATGGAGCATGGGAGGAAGGGTGAAGAGACGAACTTCGAGATGGAGACTCCGCAGAGAGTGCTAGAGATGCAGCATAAGAATGAGCAACAATGGGAGTCTAAATTAAATAAATTAGTCAACAAATAAAAAGAAATTAAATTAGAAATGACTTACGCCAAGAACCCAAAAAGTAAGCTTATTGTTATCATCTTTGATAAATTCAGCAATACTTTTGTTGGTGATCGCACGTTTGTATGGTCCCTGAATGACCCATGCGGAGTTCTCATTGTCCCAAAGAAAGATTGTTTGAGCTAAAAAAAATATTATTAGTATGTATTCATTAAATATGAAAAAGACATACATTCGATGGATGGAAAGAGCCCTTGGAGTTCTATAAGAAGAGAGCGTACCGATCCACCAGTCACAACCTTGAGGATGAAGCCCAATTCGACATCGTCCTTGTTGAAAGGTGGCGAAGAGGAGGGATAGTTACAGTACCGAACAATGCCATTGAGTTGTACCTGAAGAGAAGTAGAGTCGTCTTCATCGGTAGTATCACCAATATTGGGATTGTTTCCGATAGCTCGTCCACGGCTAGTGCCACCAGTGGTACGTGAAGATCCTCCCATAGGTAAGGTCGCCAGAGAGGCCTGAAGGGCATTTTGGAAGTCTACAATATTTAAGTACTGTTGTAAACAGAAAATAGAGAATACAACGTACCTTCATTTTCCTGTGCCTCTAGATCAATTACATCCTCATCCTCATCCTCACTATCGATATCCTCTGCTTGTGCCTTTCCCTTTCCCTTTGACTTGACAATAGCGATATCAACATCCATCTCGTTATCATCTTTCTCCAAGTCATCACTGATGGTGGGTTCGACTTCTTCTACAATCATCTCCGATGTGTCTTTGGTGTTGGTATCAGGTGCATCATCACAACGACGACCCCTTGTAGAAGTCGTAGTACTCAGCGGAGGCTTGGAGGCAAGAGTGGATGACTTGAAACGGATTGGAGGAGCGACAGGAACTTTGTTTACAATTTCTTCCGCACTAAGTCAAATATAAGTGATTGAATATCAATAAATGAATAATACGTACCGAGTTGGCTTTTTCTTAGCTTTCTGTCCGATAGCATTGACTTGTGCCTTCTTGTTAGCACTAGTTTTATTGCAAAAAAAATCAGTTTAGGATTACGTTATATGTGAGATAACATACGGAGCCGGTTTAGCGGAGCTGACTTTCTTAGATGGCTTAGATGAGTGGTGGGTAGCTGATTTATCTAGTATATTATAAGTCTATGATCTATTAAAAGAAGATAGATGATATACCTTTCTTGCTGGGAGTCTTTTCTTGATCTTCTTCTTCCTCATTGTTGACTATCGGATCATCTTTGGCTTTAAAAAAATAGTTATAATATATATATTGATTATAGAGCTGTAATACATACTGTACTTCCCCAGTTCATCCTCTGAACTCTCATCGACTTGCATATCATCCTGTTCATCTTCAATAACAGAGCTGGTACGGCTCCGCTTGCGTTCAGTTTCTGAGATCGGACTACTTGATTTCTGACGCTTCTTGGTGTTCTTATTCTTGTGCTTGGGTGGTGAGCGAGAGCGAGCCATGTTATAACCTTAACAAATAAACAGTATAAGTATACATTTATATTTGATTTGAGGTCACACAGATAAAAATTTGAATAAGAAAAGCATTATATTTGAGTATCTACGGTACAAGACAAAGTATAAAAATATTAAAGTAAATTACTTACACTATTATATATAGTGTAGGTAGGTGAGCGGTGAGCACGGGTAGTGGTGGCGATCGGTCACGTGGGCCGCGGGAGGTGCACGCAGATGGCAGAGGGGACGGCGATGGGCGCGGATGGCAGAAGGGCAGCACGGGGCGGCGATCGCAGGCGATCGTCGTCGTCGCCACGTGGCAGAGGGGCGACAAGGGCAGAGGGGCGGCGAGTGCGGGGGTGAGCGCGGGGTGAATGGGGGTGATCACGGTGGGTGGTCGTTGGTGTCGTTGCCACGTCACACGGCATGGTAGAGACGGACGGCGCGCGGGGGCGAACAGGCGCGATCGCGGTGGCGGGGTCGTCGTCGTCGTGGCGTGTCACATGGCACGGGGGACATAGGCGACGTGTGGTGGCGATCAGGGGCGATCGCGGTGGGCGGTGGTGGTCGGTCGGCGGCGATCGAGCGCGATCGCAGTAGGGGCGGTGGTCGTTTTCGCCACGGGTGACGCGGCGGCGGTGGTGTTGGTGGTGGCCGTCGATTGAGGTGCCGCGGGAGCGAGACGTGGGGGCGGTGGCATTGGTGGTCGGCGTCGTCGTCGCATGCCGGCGGGTGATGTGGGACCGTGGGTGGCCGTCGTCGTCGTTAACAGGCGTTGTGGGCGTCACAGGAGGGCAATGTGGCGGGTGGTGGGTGCCGTCGTCGTGTGCCGGCGTTGCGGGTAGGTGATGTGGCGACGGCGGGTGGGCGTTGCAGGGCACGCGAGGTGGTGGTGGACGACGGCGGTGGTGGCCGGACGTGGCGACGTGGTGTGTTGCGGCCGTCGTCGTCGTTTGCGGGCGGCGGGCATGGATGACGTGGCGGCGGTGGCGGCGGTGGTGGGCGTCGTCGTGTGCGGGTGCCATGGGAGGGAGACGTGGTGGGTGGTGGGCGGCGTCGTCGTGGTGTGTGGCCGTTGGCGGTGTTTGCAGGCGTCGCGGGCGTCACGGGCACGCAACGGGGCGGCGGTGGAGGGCGTCGTCGTGTGCGGGTGCCGCAGGACGACGCAGCGGGCGTGTGACGTGGCATTGGTGGCATGCGGGCGTCGTCGGCGCGTACGCGTGCGGGTGTGCGGTGAGAGATGGGGATGGAGGGGGGGGGAGCCTGGTCAGCGCGGGCTAAACGACGGAATGGGGGGGAGGGGCTTACCTTTCGTCGCCACGTCACACAGCGGGGGACGTCGGGTGCGATCGGCGGCGATCGCGTGGGCGGTGGTGTTTGTCGTCGTCGCCACGTCACATGGCGGGGGACGTCGGGTGCGATCGGCGGCGATCGCGTGGGCGGTGGGTTGGTCGCGATCGAGCGCGGGCGGTGGGGGGATGTGGTGGGACGTCGGGGGCGATCGGTGGCGATCGCGGTGGGTGGTGGTGGTTGTCGTCGCCACGTCACACGGCGCGCGACGTGGTGGTGGCAGGCGGGCATCGTCGGCGGATATGCGCGCGGGAGTGCGGTGGGAGATAGGGATAGGGGGGGAGAGCCTGGTCAGCGCGGGCTAAACGACGGAAGGGGGGGGGGAGAGGCTTACCTTGGGGGTGGGGTTTGATTGTGGTGGTTGCAGAAAGAAACCCAGCGACGTCTGATGGCTGAGTATAAAGCGGCGCAAATTCGAATCGGCTTCTCGCGTGCCGAATTAATCATGTGACGGAATCCGAAAGAGTTGATAATTGCAACTCCGATCGAATATGAGTGATGGCCGAGATCGCCGAGCGTACTAGATAAATTAACTAAAGTATCTAGGCTTTCAAATGGCCTTGTAGTGTAGTGGTTTATTGCGCTTTCTAACATGTGACCCCTAGGTTGCTGGTTCAATCCCTGCCAATGGCATTTTGGTCCGCTTTTTTTTTGTACTTATATAATAAAGAGAACTGACCACTGGTTTGGGCGCTTAACCACTGGTTGACCACTGGTTGACCGCTGGTTTGGGCGCTTAACCACTGGTTGACCACTGGTTGACCACTGGTTTGGGCGCTTAACCACTGGTTGACCACTGGTTGACCACTGGTTTAGGCACCTAACCACTGGTGACTGCTGGTTATAGTACTTGACCAGTGGTGACCAGTGGTTGACCAGTGGTTATTCAGACCCATAGTAACCACTGGTCAACCACTGGTTTCAACTAGTGTTATTCAGTAGTCTAATCATGTCTATTATATTTGGCATTTATAACCAAACCAGTGGTTGACCAGTGGTAACCAGTGGTAACCAGTGGTAACCAGTGGTTAAATGCGGTGGAGTGATAAGACCTCCCCTTTAGGACTATATTATAGATATAGATGCGGATTTCGATTCTAAATACAACCGTGAAAATTTCATATTAATAGCTGCAGCGGTTGACGCACTAGATGTAAATTACTGATGGCAAAAAATTAGCGCCCACAAAGAATATTGTTTTCCTCCAACCACGCGGCCGTTTTGCATGATTTTAAGTGGTATCTAGAGGTATTAAACGTGCGCTTCGAACGTGTTTATGATCGTAGTTTTACGTCCCTTCCTTGCTCTGTAAAACGGTTTGCACAAAATTACGCTCACACTGCTTTAGCGCCAGCCACACATTGAATATCTGCATGCATATTATATCATAAAATAGGTTAATACTACACCATTTCAATGGTATTCTTTGCGTTTGTATTGAAACATTCTTCACAACATTATTTATGAAATGGTTGTTTATATATAGCATGGGAACCACACATTGCCTCAGTGAGTGCTTAGGTGGGTTGCCATCTTCTGAATAATGCATCGACTTTAGAGATCAGACCCCGGGAAGGTACTGAACCAGATGCTGGGCTGGCATGGATATTGGCTGGCTGGCAGGCATGATTCTATATTTAGTATTTGGGCCAAGCACATGTCTGTTGACTGCATGGCCGGTATATGCACCTGGGTTGGCTCGCTCAATATTGGGCGCTTAGGCGCCATAATATACAGAAAGATTCAGAATCTTACACTGATTTCGAATCTAAAATTTTCATATTAATAGCTGCACTCGTCAGGGCGCTAGAAGCGAATTACTGATGGCGCTTAAAATGCGCCCACAAAAGATGGCTTGTTTCTCATGAACCGGCGCTCCGTTTTGCATAATCTAAATTGGGGTGTATAGATATAAAAAGGAGCTTTCCAACGCAATACTGATCGTAATTCTCCGTCCGTTGCCTGGCACATAAAATGGCCCGCACTATTTTGCACTCCAACATTAATAGCATGCGCTACACATTGAATATGAATATGCTACTTCCCCATAAAATAGCTGGCTACAAGCTCTTTCGAACGCATGTCTCTACACCATTATTGAGTAACATCCCATAGCTCCAGAAAAGAATTGATCATGCATTAAATGACGCGGGGACCGCATACCACGCCGGCACGTACTTCAACTTGTTGGAATCACCTGATTTTACTGTATTTAATGACGCCTTTATTACGGAATTTGGAGGCTGGCAAGGTAGTGAACCAGACATGGGGCTGGCATGAATATTGCCTTCCTGGATGGAATGGTTATGAGTCTTTACGCAGTAAAGTGAGTTCTTTTCACCGAGCAAAAAAAATGTACGCGCTGTTATCCCCATCACTGATGCCATCAATCACACAATTCATCACGTGTTATTTTTTTCTCCACAGTGCTTTAAATAGCCTGATATTTGCCATCATTGATATGTTACTCAAATAGATTTGATCAGATCAACAGGCATTATATAAGCCTTGTAATTTGCAGCCATCATGGATTGCCTCTATTTGTCTAAGGCTCCATCACACACAGCCCACTTTGATTTGATCAGATCAACTGCATTATATAACCCATGCAAATTGCAGCCATATTGAAGACTGAAAGAGACTCATAATGTGGACCGGACTTTAGTCCATCATTATTTTAAAATTAGAGAGACCAAAGAACAACCAAGTTGAACCAGTCTGGAAAGGTCTTTGCTCATGAAACTTAACAGCATTGAAGCGTCTAAATTGAACTTTCTAACCAGCCCAAGATCTTAATTTTAGGATGTGCTTTGCCCAAGTTATTAGCAAATGCACTTTTCATCCTCATTTTGGGCACTTGAAAACCGTTTTGGGCACTTTTCAATGAATAATAACAGGGCACTTTCGTAATTTTGCAGTATTATAGTACCTTATATACACCTTTTTAACAAAAAAATCAATTGTAAATTTGGATAAGAATTGACCTGACTATAATTAATTCTATCTGTCCTACTTATTTTGAGTAAGTAAAAGGGTTTAAATAAAGACATGTAGGTGCTGAATATGCCTACAGGCTTTGATTGTCTTACATTATGACGTACAGGGTGTTGGAAAAGGTGTCCTAACGGCATTTTGGTATGCCTGTACATCATTATTCTGAGACATGTCTTGAAATATACCTATTTTAGCATCTCAAATCAGATTTAATCATTACTCAGTCAATTCTCGGGCGAAAGTTATGATCTTGGGCTAGTTAGAAAGGTATGATTCAATACTACATTTCTGCTTTTTTACGATAGAAACCTCCAACTATACATCAAACCACAAGTAAAATGGGAGCAAGCTGTGGCTTATTCTGGTAGTGCTTGGAAGTCCAGTCTCAAGACTGGAAAAAAACCGAGACTGGACCGGAACTGAACCGGAAATGACCGGAAAATTGATGGACCGGAAAAGACCGAGACCGCGGTCCGGTCCACGGTCCAACAGGTTTGAAAAAACAGAGGGACCGATCAAAAACCAGTCTGGACCGGTCCCAACCGGTCTTTGGCCGTGAGAATTTGTAGGCTAGAGAGGAATGATGCCCAAATCATATTTTTAGCATGAGAATTGACAAAGTTATCAATAGTTTCATTTGAGTAATTACTTTGGGCATCTAAAAACGCTTTTAACTGCAGTGCAAACATTAATGGGTCGTACCTTTCGCAAACTTAAACATATATAGAGGACATATAGATCTACAGGATTCAGTTTAAACCTTAATATTTGAAAAACATTCGGTTGAGCTATAGCAATATCGATGTTTTCTACTCTTTTTGACTCCTTCAAAGACACTTTTGCCTATGCTTTGTTCAGTATAGACATCGCCCTTTCGCAAATTGGGATACAATTAGATATTAAGATTACCCTTTTAACAAGCATAGAATCATAATATATGGTAAAGAATTGACTGAGATATCACAAAATGCGCTCAACCACTGCATTAGCTAGTATTTTAATTGTTTCTCACTCAATTCTCCACCGATTTTTATATTCTTTGAAGCACTACATACTACATAGAGTATTCTACCTAACTATTACCAGTCTGGACCGGTCTTTGACCAGTTGAAACCGGTTTGGACCATAACTGGTCTTAACCAGTCTTTGAACCGATTGAGACCGCAAAAGACCAGTTCAAGTCGGTCCAGTCCAGTTTTTTGCAGTCTTCAAAAACTGAAAGACCGGTCTCGGTCTTGGTCTTGCCAAATATGGGCAAAAAACCGGACTGGACCGGACTTTCAAGCACTATATTCTGGGCATTCAACCAACACATGTGTGCTCAGCAGAAATGCTAAATATAGTGTGTACATGATTTCAATGATCCTATCATTGATTTAGTGATATGGCATAGGTTTGTAAGCAGTGCATTTATGTTGCTGATGTAATAGGCTTCTTTTGGGATTGATTAATCAATCTGATGGGCTGATAATTATCTTCCTTCCTCTCCACCAGTATGATACCATTCAAATGGTTCAAGGTCAAACATATGCAGCTTGACAGAATCTCTTTCCACATTCTGTATGCATATAACCATTATCCTCCTTTGCATCTCGGCTATCCTGGTGACTTGTACATCCAAGGATCTTCTTCTTCATTGTGGTACAAAGTCAACAAGGAACATCCTTTGTGGAATGATGAATCATTTGGTTGGGTTAGGGTACCAGGTGATTTAGGATTGGATTGTCATATCCATATCAAGCATCCTTTGCATCATTTCCACTTGGTGGCTTAATGTAAGAAAGAAAAAACTATTGATCTTCTATCAGATACCAAATGGCTTAAAGATTCAGATGGCAAGCATATGGCATATTGTATATACAGAAAGTAAAATCTGAATAGAATAATAATACAGTTACAATTTATGTATTTTAGGTTGTATTAGTAGGTCAAGCAATATTTATATATTTTAGTAATTGTATTAATAGGCTATGCTTTGCATGGCAATACAAGTCTTTACATACAAAACTGTTAAGTTTAATTTGTGTAAAGACTCGTATTGTCATGTGAAGCAATGGCCCGCAACACAAGTACTATTTTTAGGCCTGCCATGCTTGGCATCACCCAATTTGGGCATAGAATAGTGGCACCCTCCCCCTCCCCCCCATATTAGAAATTTGATTCCTCCCTCAATTCTTATTCAATCCTTTTGTTCTTTTTTGTATTATTCTATATAAATATGGTACTATATGCCTATGCCACTGATACATTACTATAGTGCATGCAGCAGGTGTTATCTTAATATCGCTCTATTTTCAATATTACATTGGGGCTTTTCACTGCATTTGGGATGCTTATTAGCATATATAAAGCAGTGAGTAGCTAGAGGCACATGTTCAGCACATGTTCTGGTAGTTTAGCACCAATATAAATGCTGACCTACAGGGTTACACACATAAAAGATGGATTGGGGTACTTTCTCCTTGATATACTCATATCTCAGCCTATATTGTCACTACAGACAGACCCAAGCATGCATTAAAACGGCAACAAGGCATATTAAATATTGACTTATACAGTATTCTGACACACACCAATTTTTTTTTTTCTTTTTCTTTTGGAATCCATTCACTGTCCATTGAGGCCTTAGCCTTATGTAG